GGACCTGGGAGGCTCCTGAGGCAGGGAATGTTCTCCGCCTCAGGGAACGGAGGGGACAGCAGAATAAGAAGAATTTATGGCAATGGCCCAAGCTCTGAAATGGCGGCCACGGCCGGACTACAGGACAAGAGCCTGTGTGTCTGGGAATGAGGAAGGCCTCCCGGGCAAGCTGAGGGGTGGGGGGGCAAATAACTGAGGACCAGACAGCACCCCCACCCTGCCCGCAGTGACTTGGCCCCTGAATGTCCCTGCCACCCTTGAAGAGGAGAGAAGAACCCTCATTGCCTTAACTCGGCCTGATAAAAAATCACAAAGAAAAATATTGAAGTCTTGCCCTAGCTGGTTTGGCTCAGTGGATAGAGCGTCGGCCTGTGGACTGAAGGGTCCCAGGTTCAATTCCGGCCAAGGGCACATGCCCGGGTTGTGGGCTCGATCCCCAGTGGGGGGCGTGCAGGAGGCAGCCGATCAGTGATTCTCTCTCATCATTGATGTTTCTCTCTCTCTCTCCCTTCCTCTCTGAAATCAATAAAATATATTTAAAAGAAAAATATCGAAGTCTTCATCTGTTGCACACTGAGTCAGTGGTCTGAGATTTAATCCTGCTGCAAATATGTTGATTTTTCGTTGAACTCTGGACGAAGTCCCTGATGAGCTGTTTGGACCTCGCCAGTTCCACACGTCACGTGTTGAGTGGTGGGTGGTGACAACCCCCAGGACAGACCCAGTGTGGCCTGGGGTCCTGCCCGGAAAGGCCCACCAAGAGGCTGTTGGTCACATCTGGGGAAGACGCAAAGCCGGGAGGCATCCCTGCAGACGGCAACCTCAAATGACCCCAGGGGCTCCCACGAGGTCTCTGCCAGACGCAGGGATGGGCTGCAGCCAGTGACTGTGAGTGAGGAAGGCTCGCTGCCAAGTTCAGGAGCGAGGGCCACAGAAGTTAAACGCATTAAGCCCGTAACAATGGGGGCCTGATTCGATTGTTTTAATTTTACCAAGAAAAAAGTCTTTCACTTCTCCCGGGGTGGAGCGAATAGCCGTGGGACGTGGAGTGGCAGATTTACACAGAATACCTTTCACCCACATCGGATTAAGTCCTGGCCGACCTCGGCTCTACTGACTTTTGGGGCCAGAGAATCCTGTGCATGGTGGGATGTTGAGTGGGTGGAGGAGTGAGTGGGTGGAGGAGCGAGTGGGGGACCCAGTGGGGACACATCGGTGCAGACCTGCCCTCAGGCTGCTCCTGGCCCCCCGGGGAGGGACGCCAGGGACTGCCCTGCTGCAGGGCCCCAGAGGCTTGAACCAGAGTTGCCAGGAGGAGACATGAGTGAGGAGCTGGGACTGGAGGGAGGACTCGGGAAAACAAGACCAAAAGACTGGAAAGGTCCTGGATAATAATCTTCTATAATAATAAAAGCGTACTATGCTAATTAGACCAGACGTCCTTCCGGACGACCTTCCAGATGAAGCCGGGCTGCGAGGGAAGCCCGGGTCCCGGGTGCCAGAGGGAAGCCAGTGCCAGCAGCCGGGGGAAGGAAGGCCTACTCTTGCAAGAATTTCGTGCATCGGGCCTCTAGTAATAATAATAAGACCAAAGATCATCATAATAGCACCTACTATTCTCTGAGCCCTACTCTGTGCCTGGCACTGGTCTGCCATCGTCTCTAAGTCTCCAAATACCCAGTAGCTACCCCAACCCCATCTCTGGGGGCAGGGAACTGACGCTAAGGGAAGTTACACGGCTGGGTTTCAGCTTCAGCCGAACTGTGAGGGACTCGGGAACCGGTAACTTAACTAACCAGGAGTTCAGGGCTGGCTTCACCCGCCGGCAGGGCAAGCTGAGGTGAGAGCTGTCCGTTCCTCCCAAGTGTGAAAACAACCGTCAGAATCCCCACCTCCCGCAGCCAAGGACACTGTGATCCGGCCACCCTCAGGGCCACCTGCCGGGAGGTGTGATGTAACAGCTCTATCTGGATCAGACACGCCTGGGAGCCGGAGCCACAGGCACGAGCCGACCTCCCTGACCGCGACCGACAGCGGCCACCTTCCCCGACCCTCCAGCCGCTGACTGGCCAGAGTGTCCCCGCCACACCGAGATCTGCCTGGTTTGCTCCACGTCCTCCCCAGGATGACCGTGGGTGGGGCCCGGGTCCTGCTAGGCTCTCGGGGTCTTATCCATGCGACGGGACAGAACCACACATGTATGCACACATGTACATACGTTTTATATATTTAAACGTGAAGGTCTGCCCGAACGGCAGATATTCACCGATGAATGAATAGATAAATGAAATGCGGTCTACCCTGGCCCGTGTGGCTCAGCTGGTTAAACATCGATTGGGAGGTGCGATTCCCAGCCAGGGCACATGCCCAGGGGTCCCGCTCGATCCCCCGTGTGGGGCGTGCAGGAGGCAGCCGATCAATGATTCTCTCTCATCACTGATGTTTCTATCTCTCTCTTCCTCTCCCCTCCTCGCTCTGAAATCAATAAAAACCTACTTAAATAAATATGGTCTATGCAGACATGGAATAGTATACAGCCATAAAAAGGAATGAAGCACCAATACATGTTACAACATGGATAAACCTTGAAAACATGATGTGGAGTGAGAAAAGCCAGACACAAAAATCACCTGGTGTCTGGTTCCATTTATATGAAATGTCCAGAATAGGCAAATCGATAGAGACGGAAAGCAGATGGGTGACACAGGGGCGGGAGGGGAGGGGTGACCGCTAATGGGTATAGGGTTCTTTCTGGGGTGATGAAATGTCCTACAATTGATACTCTGTAACCGAGTGAGTCGTAGGCGAGGTGAACTATATCTCAATGAAGTTATTATTTAGGACAAGGATATGCCCAGACAGGATGTCACAACGGTGACATATGTTTTGTCTTTTTTCCCTCTTTTTGTTTCTTTTATGATTGATTTTCTATGTATTTATTATTGACTTTAGGGAGGGAGGAAGGGGGAGAGACAGAGAGAGAAACATCAATGTGAGAGAGGTACCTTGATAGGTTGCCTCCCATACACGCCCCAACCGGGGACCAAACCCACAACCTGGGCATGTGACCTGACTGGGAACTGAACCCGTCACCTTCTGGCTCACAGAACGACGCTCCAGCCAATGCTCCCATCAGCCACAGCGGCCAGGGCTGACTTTTTTTTTTCTTAATTTTCTTTTTTTCAAATCACAACAGTGACACATTTTTGTGGAAACACATGGAACACTCTAGAAAGGCCTAAAGAAAGAACCCATCTTGGCGTTTCCCGCCCGTGCAGCCCCGCCTTCCATCACCGAGAGGTGGCCGTGCAGCAGAGGGAACTGCACATTGTAAGACAGCGGGGCCTCCATTCCCACCTCCCTGACGGTGTGGATCCCGCCTGTCACACGCCTCCCTCTGACACCCCTAATGTGACCCCTAATGGCCCGCCCGACCCACCTCAACCCTGCCCCCTGGGTGACACTGTTACTCCACCCCTGAGCCTGACTCTTTCCCTGGGACATGGGGCTCAAAATGCCCACGCACCTCAGGCTTGAAGATTGAGTGACACCCCACGTGGGAAACCCTGCGCGTGAGATCAGCTGTGGGGCATCGTGAGCACCAACTGTATACGCTCCGGTGCACACAGGCCTGCACGTGAGCTTCAGGGCGCCCACATCACTGCGGCTCCGCACCTGTATGCCCAGCGCACGCCTGGGGGCGTCCTGTTGGGGAGGGGGCTCGTTGTGCCTGTGGAAGGTCCGGGGGGGGGGGGCGGCAGGAGGGGAAAACTTGTTCGTCCGCAAAGGGGCGGCTATGCGGGCTGTTTGAGCCCTCCTGCCCTCGTCTCATCGATATTCCTGTCCGGGCCGAGCGGACAAGAGAGCTTTGTTGAGGGGCCGGGGAAGAGAAGCGGCCTGGGATGGAGGGGGGGGGGGGGAGTGTGCATGCACCACCCTGTGTACAGACAGACCCCCTGCTTACACCTGCTCACAGACAGACAGACAGGAGGCCGGGCCTGGGCAGGGAGTGAGTTCCGGTGGAAGACCCCGCAGTTCTGGGACGATGAGGACGGTGACGATGGTGACACTGCCGAAGGCTGTGTTCTGGGCTCCTTCCATGCGTGCGCTGTCCTGTCCTCTATTCCCGGGTGAGCAGAGGGGCAGAAGGAGGCTCCAGGAGGCACAGGGACGGCCGAGGCCGCGCAGCTAGTGAACGGCCGTCAGCATTTGAACCCTGGTCGGCCTGGGTGTTACCCATGATGCCATCGGCCCCTGGATAACACAGGAGTCCTGAAAGGATGACATTGGGAGGTGATCAAGAACTCCGTCCATCCCGGCCGCTGTGGCTCAGTGGTTGAGAATCGATCATCCCATGAACCAAGAGGTCACCTGTTCCATCCCAGTCAGGGCACCTGCCCGGATTTCGGGCTTGATCCCCAGCGTGGGGCGTGCAGGAGGCCGCCAATCGATGTTTCTCGCTCATCGCTGTTTCTATCTCTCTCTCCCTCTCCCTGACCCTCTCTCTAAAATCAATAAAAAGATATTAAAATTAAAAAAAAGAGCTGTGTCTCGATTGCACGTTTGGGAGTCAGACTGCTGGTTCCAGTGCCAGAGCACCCCTCTTCCCGCCCGTGCCTCAGCTTCCCTTCCTGTGAGATGGGAGCATGGTGGCAGCCGCTTCCTCCAGGGTTTGTTTCTCGGGTCCCATGATGTGCCAGCACTTGCTGGCGGCCTTAGTGCAGGGCCTCTGGGGGCCTCCTGGCTGGCTGCCCACCGTCGTTGGGCCGGAGGAATTGTTTGCAAAGAAAGAAGCTGAGGCTGTGGAAGGGCAGTGATAGGAAAGGGAGAGGGAGAGGCCAGGAAGCAGCCAGGGAGGAACAGCCAGCTTCCATTTCCCCTCCGGGCAGCCCCAGGCCTCGGGCCAGGGGGCGTGGCCAGCCCGGGGGATGTGGCCAGCCCTGCCCACAGGATAAAACCGGCACCTGGTAGCCCTGGGACAATTCAGAAGACAGCCTACCTGTCCATCGACCCTCCCTCCATCCGCGCGTGGGCTGTCCACCCAGCCCGTCCACCCAGACCACCGCCGGCCTCCCCTCGCTCTCCTGGTCCAGCCACCAGCTCCGCCGCCTCCGCCCTCCCTTCCCCCCGCGATGGCCTCCCAGGAGCCCCTGCACATGAAGACCCCGATCCGAGACAGCATGGCCCTGTCCAAGGTGGCCGGCACCAGCGTCTACATCAAGATGGACAGTGCCCAGCCCTCGGGCTCCTTCAAGATCAGGGGCATCGGCCACCTCTGCCAGAAGGTACAGGACGGCTTCAGGGAGGGTGACAGGTCCTCTTTCTTCCATGGGCAGGGCCGGTGCCATGGGAGACCCTAGGAGCTCCAGGCAAGGCTGCCCGCGAGGCCCACGCACCCACCACTAGCGCTTCCTCTGGGGAAGGGGTGCCCATCACCAGGGTCCCCTAGGGCTGATCCCAGAGCTCTCAGCTGCCCGCCTCTCCCTCCCTCCCTGAGCCAGGCTCCTGGGGAGGGGAATGGAGGGGAGATGTCACCTGAGAGGCTGAGGCAGTAAAGTTCCGAAACCACTCAGTTAGAACCCAGGGGCTGGGCGGGTAGGACTCCAGGTGAGAGGAGAGAGCCCAGGGGCAGCCTGACCCCCTCCCCTCGTCTCCGCAGAAGGCCGAGCAAGGCTGCAAACACTTCGTCTGCTGCTCAGGTAAGCGGCCTGCACGCCTCCTCCTGCCCTCTGCTGTGTGTCGGGGGCAGGAGCTCCACCTCTCTGGGCCCTGGTGTCCCCAGCCGGGAGCCGGGAGCTGGGAGCCGTTGCAAATGTTTGCAGCCAGCCCAATTTGGAATTTCAGCGGGGAGGCCTGAGGCCACCCAGGGGGGTTCAGAGGCCGGGGGTTGGGCCCCCAGGCCGTCCCGAACTGACACACTCTCTACCCACCACCCCTGGCAGCGGGCAACGCGGGCATGGCGGCCGCCTACGCGGCCAGGAGGCTGGGCATCCCCGCCACCATCGTCGTGCCCAAGACCACACCCGCCCTCACCATCGAGCGGCTCAGGAGTGAGGGCGCCACGGTCCAGGTGGTGGGTGAGGTGAGTGCCGACCTGAGCGGGGACGTGGAGGGCAGCTGGTGGCAGAGGAAGGCGCCCCGGCCGCTCACCTCCTCTGCGTCCCCCGTGGTCTTGCAGACGTTGGAGGAGGCCCACAAGCTGGCCACGGCCCTGGCGAAGAACAACTCAGACTGGGTCTTCGTCTCTCCCTTCGACGACCCCCTCATCTGGTACATGGAGCCCAGGGTGGCATCCACCCCCTGACCACTGGGTGGGCGCCTGCCACAAGGCACGCGGGCACATTCTTATGCACAGCGGTTGCACATGTGTGTGCACACACCATCACCCAGAAGCACACACATGTGTGCTCCGACGCCCATCCTCCGCGGCCGTGAACGATCGCGAGCTCAGTGCCTGCGGCTGGGTGCCCGGGAGCAGGTCCCGAGACCAGGATTTCAGGGAAAGCCGTTGACTTGGGAGGTGATTCCCGAGCAGAGGGGGACGGGAGATGAGGCAGGAAGGACGCCTTGAATGGGCTCTCCTGGGCAGGGCACTGCTGTGGCAGCTGGAGCTTGATTTCCTGGGGGCCCCTGGGAGCCAGTGGAACATGCACCAGTTACCCAGCGGCAGGAGAGGATGCTGGGTGCTTATTCACTCACACAGGCCCTGCGTGAGGGGTGTCCTCAGGGCTGTCACCTGTCCGCACAGCCAGGTGTCACACACAGAGGCAGCGCTGGGGGCCAACGGGAGCCTCCAGGTAGAGATGCAGATGCTGGCAGCTGGAAGTCAGGGAGGAGACCAGCCCCGAGGACAAGTGGCAGAGGACCCCTGCCCAGTGTCCCCAGGGCCCCAGCCCTGACCCGGTCCCTCCCCCACCCTCCAGGGACGGCCACACTTCCATCGTGAAGGAGCTGAAGGAGACGCTGAGCGCAAAGCCGGGGGCCATCGCGCTGTCGGTGGGGGGCGGCGGCCTCTTGTGCGGAGTGGTCCAGGGGCTGCAGGAGGTGGGCTGGGGGGACGTGCCCATCATCGCCATGGAGACCAAGGGAGCCCACAGCTTCCACGCGGCCACCTCTGCAGGCAAGCTCGTCCCTCTGGACCAGGTTACCAGGTGAGCAGCCGGGCTGCCTTCATCAGGGGTTCAGCACCCCCTTGGTGCTGGCTGCAGGTAGGTCCTGGCGCCCCCTTTTATAGGTAAGGAAACTGAGGCTCTGTTCACCTGCCCAGAGCCCACAGCCAGTGAGCGGTCGGTCCCGCGGGGACTGAGCCCATGTCTGCATGGCCCTGAACCATGAACGTCACACTTCCTCCTGCAAAAAAGTCTAATATTCATCCTGTATTGAGTTCCTCTGTGGCAGGGTTTTGCACTCTTCCTTGAATTTTTTAATATGTATTTTTGTAAATATATATTTTACTGATTTTTTACAGAGAGGAAAGGAGAGGGCTAGAGAGTTAGAAACATCAATGAGAGAGAAACATCGATCAGCTGCCTCCTGCACACCCCCTACTGGAGATGTGCCCGCAACCAAGGTACATGCCCTTGACTGGAATCAAACCCAGACCCTTCAGTCTGCAGGCCAACGCTCTATCCACTGAGCCAAACCAGTCAGGGCTTAATATGTATTTTTATGATTTCAGAGAGGAGGGGAGATAGAAACATCAATGATGAGAGAGGATCATTGATCGGCTGCCTCCTGCACACCCCCCATAATTGAGCCCACAATCCGGGCATGTGCCCTGACCGGGAATCAAACCGTGACCTCCTGGTTCATAGGTGGATGACCAACCACTGAGCCATGCCAGCCGGGCTGCACCCTTCATTCGTTTGCCAGCCATTTACTGAGCCCCTAACATGTGCAAGACCCCGGCTGATGTGGGGAGAGAGGTGGATAAACACCGCTCCTGCTCCCATGGAGTTCATATCCCAGCCCAAACCTTTGGCACATGGTGTTTAATTAGGATTAGGTGTGGCTGCTTTATATAGGAATCCAGACAGCGATTTAAACGAGATTGGATTTTATTTCCTCTCTTATTAAAAAAAGAAAAGTCTAGAGGGAGGCAATCCAGGGGCAGCTCTATGAAGCCAGCTGCCCAGGTCCCTTGTTTGTTCTCCGCCATCCTTATTATGTGGCCTCGTGGGCCAAAATAGCTGCCTGAGTGCCAACCCTCACACCCACACTCCATCTGGCAGGAAGCAGGGCAGTAGCTAAGCCCCTCCCTTTAAAGACAGACACAATATTCCACTTTCCTCTCATTGGCCAGAACTCAGTCACATGGCCACACCTGCTGCAAGGGAGGCTGGGAAATGTCTTCCTACCAGGTGTCGCTGTGTGCAGCTAGAATAGCCAGTGGTCGGCAAACTGCGGCTTGCGAGCCACATGTGGCTCTTTGGCCCCTTGAGTGTGGCTCTTCCACAAAATACCACGTGCGGACGCACACGTACAGTGCGATTGAAACTTCGTGGCCCATGTGCAGAAGGTGGCATTTTGTGGAAGAGCCACACTCGAGGGGCCAAAGAGCCGCATGAGGATCGCGAGCCGCAGTTTGCCAACCACGGCAAAGGTCTCTGCCACAGATGGGGCAGACTGAGCCGAGGTAAGAACTTCTGGATTCCTGAGCCCAGCACCCGGGGCTGTCCTGTGGGCCTCTGCTCCTACAGTGCTGGGAGTGAAAGAGCCTTTGTTGAGCACCTACTATGGGCCATATGCTGGCCTAAGGGCTGAGCTGGTCCAACCAGGAGATGCTCATGGGCAAATGGGGACTGAGCTGGGAGCAGAACCAGGGCTGTCTCTGGGGAGGCTGGTTACAGGGCAGGTCCTGGAGGTATTCGGGTCCCGTTTGCAGTCCCGGCACCACGGCTCCCTGGCCAAGTGACGGCACACGCTCTGCCTCAGACTTCCCTTCTGTGAAATTGAACCAATGAACTACAAGAATTGTTGTGGGAATGAATGGCACCGAACGCTTCCTCGGGAAGTGGGGTGTGTGTGTGTGTGTGTGTGTGTGTGTGTGTGAGAGAGAGAGAGAGAGAGAGAGAGATATGGGGAGGATCATTTGAGAATTCTACCTGGGCCATGGGACTGAGTGCGCCCCCTGGAGGACTCCTTGGAGGAGGCAGCCTTAATCCTGAGCCTTGAAGGACAGGATGGGACTTGGGCAGGTGAAGGTGACAACCTGGAGCTGAGGCTGGGAGTCCTGTCAGGGAAGCACAGGGGGCCTTGCAGGTGTTTGTTCGTGAGTCAAGTTGAACAGAAATGATGCCATTTGCCCCCATTCCAACAGTCTCGTTAGAAGCCCCCGCTCTGGTTGGGAGGCCCCTGGGACTTTAGCTATAGAGGGCACCCCCGCCCCATGCCCATGGACCCCAGTCCCTCCTCCCTCTCACATCCAACTTTGTCTCTTTCTCTCCCTCTCTATTCTGATCTCCACTTCCCTCCTCTCTCCTACCTCTGTTTCCCCCATTCCTATTCTCCACGCCCCCCCCCCGCCAGTGTGGCCAAGGCTCTGTGTGTGAGGACCGTGGGGGCTCAAGCCCTGAAGCTGTTTCAGGAACACCCCATTTTCTCAGAAGTTATCTCCGACCGGGAGGCTGTGGCCGCTATTGAGAAGTTTGTGGGTATGTGCCAAGTCCTTTCAAGACCCAACCTGCTGGTTCAGGAACCAAGTGGCTTTCCTGACCACTTGGTATGCCAGGGGATTCCATCGCTGCAGGTTTATCCACAGATCTGTCTCCCATCCCCTCCCTAGGACTCCCCATTGAATACGATGCAGTAGTAAAAATAGAAAGGCCAAATGAAGAAGCCTGATAACCGAAAAGCAGGGAATCATAACTATTTTTAAATGTTCGTTCTGAGCTTCCCTGGCAGCCAGGGGTGAAAAAGGGAAAGCATAGGCCTCCGTGATGGATTCAGGAATGGGGGCTGTAACCTAGGGTTGGACTCCTCCTGGGTTCAGCCTAGGAAAAAGGAGGGTTAAAAAAAAAACAAACAAAAACACAGGAGGCACTTTGGGCTGGCCCTTTAATCTTCCTGTCCCCAGGGGCCGGCTGGGTTAATGAACA